CCCTGGTTCCCTCTCTGTAAAGCGTTACTCGTTAGCTGGCATTCAAGTCGTTCCACTTGTGTGATTTCAGCCCTTCACTTCTTAAATATGCTGTTTCCTTGGAAGGCTTCCCCTGCTACGTGTTAACCTCTCCTTTTAGAGCATCGAGAGCTTCTTGAGGATAATCAGGTATTCACTTAACAGTAATATCTACTGTGTACTGGCTACTGGGGATAGAAGGATGAATAAGACAAAGCTCTGCCCTCAGTTTCTAGGCAGGAGATAGACCCTGAACAAATAATTACAAGTGTACTAAGAGCTATGAAGATGGGCAGGAAGCATACAACAGGAGAGAACCCTACTGATCCAAAAACCTCTCCAAAGAAGTGGCTTTTGTGTTTAGACCTGAAGGTAGAGTTGGAGTAAGCTAAGAAGGGAGGAAGTGGGATATGGGATGGGAGGGAGCGTGTTCTAGTATGTGCCAAGTCCTTGGAGATTCAAGAACTGAAATAACGTTCTAGTAAGCCTGAAGTGAAAGTCAGAGTAATGAGGAGTAAGGCAAAGACTTCCAAATTGAACTTTCTGCCTCTCGCTCCTAACGGGCCTGGCACACTATGAAAAAACAGTTGCCGTCCAGTCGGAATCATGGCGATACCATGTGCCTCAGAGTAGAACTGAGCTTCATAGTTTTCTTTTTCTTTTTGGTGAAAATATACACAACAAAACATACACTCATTCAACAATTTTTACATGGATAGCTCAATGACAATGGTTACGTTCTTCACATTGTCATCATTCTCACTCTCTCTGCCTGTATTGGTTCACCACTATTAAACTCCCTGCCCCTTAAAGTTCTCATCTGTGCTTTAGAGTTACTGTTGTCAATTTGATCTCATATAGATAATTCTTTAAAAGTGTGCAATGCTCAAGGCAAGCAGTCTTTATTAATTGAGCTAAACTGTTGTTTAGTCACGGGATACCTTCAGTTCAAAGTTTAAAAGTTGTTTCCAGGCAATAGATTTAGGGGTTCCTCCAGTCTCAATGTATCCAGTAAGCCTGGTTTTCATAAGAATTTGAAGTTCTGTTCCACATTTTTCCTTTTGATCAAGATCCATCTATTGGGTCCTTGATCAAAACACTCAATAATGGTAGCCAGACATCATCCATTTCTCCTGGTCTCATGGCAAAGGCGGTAGTAGTTCATGGAGACAATTAGGCCTGCAGTCCATTTCGTTCTCTGATTCCCGATTCTCCTTCTTCCTGTATTGCTCCAGCCAGATAGAGACCAATTGTTGTACCTTGGGTGGCCTCTAGCTGAGCCCTGGTGGCACAGTGGTTAAAGCGCTTGGCTGCTAACCAAAAGGTTGGTGGTTTAAACGCACCAGCAGCTCCATGGAAGAAAGATGTGGCAGTCTGCTTCTGTAAAGAGTACAGCCTTGGAAACTGTATGGGGCAGAACTACTCTGTCTTGTAGGTTTGCTGTGAGTTGGAGTCAATTCTATGGCAGTGGGTTTGGTTGGTTTGGTTGGGTGGCTGCTAGCAAGCTTTTAAGACCCAAGGCACTACTCAACTGAACTAGGAGGTAGAGCAGAAATTCTAAAAACTGTTTTAGGCCAATTGACTGGACAGACTCATGAAACCATGACTCTAAAACTTTGAACCAAGAAAATTAATCCCATAAAGTGTTTATTTATCAACACTTCGCAGCCTTTTTTTTTGGGGGGGGACTGCTGTTTTTGTTGTAAAATTATATATAATATTCTATTTGCCATATTGCCCCCTCCCCATTTTTTTTTCTGGTGTACAGGTTAATAATATCAGTTACAATTGTCAAGTTGTGTAATCATTACCCTTAATCGATGCCAATTTTCCCATCACCATAGAGGAAAATCCAGTACTTCCTGAAAAAAGATTCCCACTCACCCTCTCCCCTCCTGCCCTGGTAACCACTAGCAACCATTGGTTTTCATATATTTACTTATTCTTGTCCTTTCATATAAGTAAGACCATATAATATTTGTCCTTTGTGATTGACTTATTCAATTCAACATAATGTCTTCAAGGTTCATCCATGTTGTAGCATGTATCAGGACTTCATTTTTCTTTAAGGTTAAGTAGTATTCCATACTGTTTATGTACCATATTTTGTTTATCCATCCATCTGCTAATGGACACTTGGGTTGTTTCCACTTTTTTGGCTATTGTGAATAGTGCTGCAGTGAACATTGGTGTACATGTGTCTGTTCGTGTCACTTTTAGCTACCTAGGAGTACAACTGCTGGGTCATTTGGTAGCTCTATTTCTAATTTTTTGAGGAACCGCCAGACTTTTCTACAATGGTTGTACCATTTTACATTCCCACCAGCAGTGGATAAGGGTTCCAATCTCCCCACATCCTCACCAACATTTGTTATATTTATTTATTTATAATCATTGCCATTCTAGTAGCGTGAGGAGGTGTCTCATTGTAGTTTTGATTTGTATCTCTCTAATAGATGGAGCACTTTTCCTCTTTTTGCAAGCACCTTTACAAAGTCCTCCCACAGAGCGAAGCTTCTTCCAGTAGGGAAGTAGCCTGCCCCCAAAGGCAGGCCCCTAGCTGAGCCATCTTGAGGCGGTGCCAAGGTGTCTTCTCAATGATTCTTTCTGAATCAGGGTGAGCAAGCCTTGGCTTTTGCTAAAGGTGGAGCTCAAACTATAATCAGGCCCCTACCTACCTCTTTTCTATCTCCCACGCTATGTTTCCCCTTGGCTCCAGCCACACAGATGTTCTTTCTGTTCCTGAAACATGCCAAGCTTATTCTCACTTCAGGGCCTTTGCAGTTATGTCTCAAAGCCTCTTCCCTCCAGATTTTCAAATGGCTGACCTTTCTCATCATTCAAGGTTCATCTCTATTCTTCCTCCAAGATGTCTTCGCTGCCTACATTAGAGAAGTCCCCAACCACAGCCACTTCATGAAGCCCCCAAACCATAGCCATTCCCTACCGTATCTTGTTTATTTAGTTATTTACCTTTTTGTTGTTATTTTTTACGTATTTTACACACTTAGAAGTACCACTGCAATCCCTGGGTGGCACAAATGATTAAGTGCTGGACTGCTAGTCAAAAGGTTGGTGGTTCAAACCCACCCAGAGGTTCCTTGGAAGACAGGCCTGGTGATCTGCTTCCAAAAGATTACAGCCTTGAAAACCCTATGAAGCACAGTTCCACTCTGACACATATGGGGTCGCCATGAGTCAGAGTCAACTCCATGGCAACTAAAAACAACCACAATAAAAGTACCACAGGAGCCAAGATTTGTCTGTTTTGTTAACTAGTGCATCTTTTAATACCTAGAATGGTACCAGGCACATAGTAGGACTCAATAAATACTTGATGAGGGAATGAACACAAAGTGGCTTTTGGGGATTTGAGTGTGAGTATCTAGGCATTTGCTCCTCTCTTCCAGCTCTGGGGAAGGGCAAAAATTTGGCTGGATGTAATCCCAACAACTGAATTATGCCCTGGGCTCTCTAGACTGAGGCTCAGGTTTGAGCCCAGGCTCTGCCACCAATTTCCTCTGCAACCGCATTTCTGAGAGGTAATTTAGTTTAATAGAAAGAGCATGGGCTTTGGAATCTGCTACTTACTGGCTGTGTGACTTTGAGAAAATTACTTAAGCTCTCTGAACTCGTTTCCTCATCTGTCAAATGGAGATAATTTTGAGCCCCATAGGGCTGTTGGAAAGATCGAAAGAGACAGTATATTTGATTGAAAGAGACAATGTATTTATTTACAACAAAAACCAAACCTGTTGCAATCGAGTGGATTCCAACTCATAGCGACCCTACAGGACACAGTGGAACTGCCCCATAGGGTTTCCAGGGAGAGCTGGTGGATTCGAACTGCCAACCTTTTGGTTAGCAGCTGAGCTCTTAACCACTGTGCCACCAGAGCTCCTATTTATTTAAGCACTCATTAAATATTATTTCTCTTTTCCTTTATCATTTTTGAATCTTAGTTGCCCATCCATAAAATGGGAGAATTAGACATCTTTTTCAAAAGAAGTGGGAATACAGACTTTTATATGAAATATCTCAATTTTTAAATGTTGCAAATTAATTTTTTTAACATAGACCTTTCTTCCCTTTCTTTTTAAACTATTTTTTAAAATTGTGGTAAACATATAGGTAACAAAACATTTGCCCTGTCAACATAAACTAATTTTTAAAGGTAAAAATACCCTGAGGGCCAAACAAGATAGTTCTGTGGACTGGATTCGGTCCGTGGGTCACTAGTTTCCCACCTAGGCTACAGGTTGTCAGGGATGCTGTGATAACCCTTACTGTGTAACTTAGGCAAATCAGTTTACCTCCCAGAACTTCATTCAGCTCATTCGCTCATCTGTAAAAATGGGGCCTTGATCTGTCGTTATGCAGATCAAATGAAACCAATTGTGTAAAACGCTTAGCAAAACACTGGCTCGTAGTAATCACACCACACAATAAACGGGAGCGGTAGCTTGGATGGTTGTTGATTTGGGAAGGATGCAGACAAGAAGCAGTATTTCCCAGAAGACAGGAGACAGAAAAGGCGAAGCCTGGGGAAGGAAAAAGGAGAGAAGGGGAGGAGAAAAGAAGGAAGGGAAGGGAAGAGGAGGCACAGGGTCCGCCTTCCAGGCGGGGCGCCAGCGAGAGGCCCAGGCAGGGGCTGGAGCGCACGTGGCCTATTTCACGCGGAGCAGACGCGCCTAGTCACAGCGGAGACCTCTGAGCCGGCCGCAGGAGACGAACCGTAGGGGTAGGTTAGAACTGGGCTGCGAGGACCTTAAACCCCGGACCGGAGCGGCCTGGGGTCCCCAAGAGTTGGGGGAGAGCTTGGGGGCGCTAGATCTGGGCTCGCGGCCCTCCCCCCGCAGTTCGGGACCAGACGCCTTGGTCCTCTAGGCCCCTCCCACTCGGGGGCGGGTTCGGTATTCGGGCCAATGACCGGCCGCTCCTGGAGCCCCGCCCCCTCCCCTCCCCGGGAGCCGCGGCCTCGCAGAGTGCTCAAGCGCCGGGCGCCCGGGCCTGGGGGTGCACGAACGCCGAGCGTGCGGCTGGTGAGTGCACCCCCCCCTCCCCCCAGGGTCTCTGCCTTGATCCCGCCGCTAGCTTGTGTCCCAGAGCTCAGGGTCGCCGACCCGGGAGCCTGGGAGTGACTCAGCGCGGGCAGAGTGACGACTCTCGGGGGCTGGGGATTCGAACTGTTCAGGGCCTTGAGTGCTGGGATGAGTGAGGGTGAAAGGGTGACTCCGGAGCTGATCCCCCGGCAGTGCCGAGGCGTGGGGCCCGGCTATGGGAGAGAAAGGAGTCTAGGGCAGGGCGGGAGGAGCCACGGCTGCACTGCCTTGCCTGGGCCAGGGCCGTGGGGGTGGGGGGATGGGGGGGAGGGGTCTTGAGCTTCTGACCCAGCTCCCCCCCCCAGGACAGCAAGATGCCTGGTGAACAACAGGCAGAGGAAGAGGAGGAGGAAGAGATGCAGGAAGAGATGGTGCTGCTGGTGAAGGGTGAGGAGGGTGAGGGCGAGGAGAAGTATGAGGTGGTGAAACTCAAGATCCCCATGGACAACAAGGAGGTATGTGTCACATTGCCCCCAAACGTGGTCCACGCCCACCCTCCCTCAGACAGAAGCCAGAGATCCTTCCCCTACTTCCCCCTGAATCTCAAACCTAGAATTTCAGGGTTGGCCCATCCTTCTGCCCTATTGTCCATGCTGCTGCTATACAATGTCATGTCTCCTGTGCCAGCAATTGTGCTAAGTGCTGTAGAGTAAACTATATCCTTGGTTCCCTTGGTTCCTCATGGAGCTTGATGTGCAGGCATGGGGCAGGGTGTGTGGAAGGCCAGAAGTGGGCTTAATTCAGACTTACGGGTGTGGGGGAGGCCAGGTTAGGCTTCCAGAAGAGGTGATGACCATAACAGCTAACTGTTGCATAGCATATATTATGTGCCAGACACTGGTCTAAACACCTCAGTTCTATGATGGAGGTAGTATTTGTCACTTTACAAGTGAGGAAACAGGCCTGAAGAGGTTTGGTAACTGGCTTAAGGTCTCACAACTAGTAAAGGCATGGCTTATTGGAGACCAGGAGGAGTCTGAGGGGTAAGGTGGGGTGACTGCTCTAGGCAGAGGGAGCAGCACTTTCAGAGGCTCAGAGGAGTGATTGTTGCATGTGAAAAAGGGAGGGCAGGTGGTTCAGTCCCCCTTGCAAGCATGAGAGTGGAGAGATTGGCAGGCCACTGAGGGAGTCTGGGTTTTCTCCTGAGGGTGTTTGAGGTTTTAAGGAGAAGAGTTTAAAGAGATTAGAATATGAGTTAGATTTCCCCTTCTAGGCCCTAAGTGTCACCAGGTATATTTCCACTCCCACAAGACTCTGGCTACCCCCAGCCAAAGCAGCCCTGAGTCCAGCTGGAGGGCTCCCACTGGGCCAAGTTTCTGGCCCAAGCTCCCTGTGATTTCTTCCTGCACAGGGGCCAGTTCCCAGGGAAAGAAAGTTTTACTGTCCCTAGTGGGCGTGTCAGGCCCTAGAGGAGGGAACTGGCTCCATAGACCTCCTGTTCCAGCCTAAATAACTATCTAGTTCTGTTTGTCTCAGGCCTCCCTGATCATCATCCTAGCCCAGCCTGCCTCTTCTGACCCCATCTCCATCTGTGTTAAGAACACAGACTCCACAGCTTAGCGTAGACTTCCAACTCCATCACTTACTAGCTGTGACCTTGGGCAAGTTTCTTGACCTCTTTGTGTCTCAGTTTCCTCATGTATAAAAGGGAAATCATAACTGCACCCACTTCTTGGGGTTGTGAGGATTTGCTAATACATGTAAAGCGCTTAGAACTGTGTCTGGCACATAGTAAGCATTATGTAAATGTTTACTACTATTATTTATTGTTCTCCCTAAAGTTCAGGACTTTAGCCTAGGTCATCCTTCTAGAGATTTTTCAACTCATTTGTATCAAAGATCTTTCTGGGCTGAACCCTGAGGACTAGTGGTGAATAGGGAAATCAACATGGAGACCTCAGCAGAGGATTGAGGGCAAACAAATCAAGGCAATGGGGACGGCTTCATGGGGATGATTTTTGACTTGGGCCTTGAAGGCTTAGTGGGAATTTGGCAAATGGAGAAGAGGAGGAAGAAGGGCATTCCAGGAGGAAGAAATAGCAAAAGCAACGGCTCAGAGGAGATGAGGCTAGAAAGGTAGGTGGGGCCAGAGAGCAGTAGGCCCTAAAACCCAGGGCAGGAATTGGGACCTACTGTTTGTTATTTGGTATGAGGTTATGGAGTCCTTGGGTGGTGCAAATGGTTAAGCACTTAGCTGCTAACCGAAAGATTGGAGGTTTGAGTCCATCCAGAGACGCCTCAGGTTAGGTTATATGGTGCCGTCAGGAGCCTTAAGCAGGGGAAGGGGCATGATTAGATTTTCTATTTAGAAGAATCAGTGGCTGCTATGGGAAGACATGGAGGCCAGAGGAAGCTGGTGGCCTGCTCTAAGGTAGTGGCAGTGGGGTTGGAGAGAAGCAGTTAATTTGGGAGACATGTACTAGGAACCCTGAGTAGGCTGACTAGAGCTGAGGATGTGTGTGTTGGAGGGTGGGGCATGGATGGGATGGGCATGGCTAGTCATAAAAGATATACAGGGCCAGACTGTAAATTCTAAGTCTACCAAATTTACTAGCTTTGCCTCAGCTTTCTCATTTGTAAAATGGGATCATGAAAATAAGATCCTTGAATGCCAGCCTGAGAAGTGTCATCTGGGTGATTGGATTTGGAGGAGGAGGGTAGAGTTGAGGATTACATACACATATCCTATGAGCGTTTAGCAGGGTGCCTACAGATAGCTCATTAATTTGCTGTGTGACCTCTGTGAGCCTCAGTTTCCCGTTGATGAAATGGTGGTCTATAAAGGCCCCTCCAGTGCTAACATTCTGTGACTCTTAGCCATCATCCAGTCCCACGGCCAGTCTATGTTCAGAAATAGGCCTGGAGTATTCTCTCTCTGCTTCTCAAAATCCAATTGATCTTTAAGGAGTAGAAAAGATTTTCTCAGAGGGCTCTATGCACATGCAATCTTGTGTCTCCCCCGAGACCCTTCAGTGGTTTTCTGTCTCCCTCAGGATAAAATCTCAGCTCCCAAGCCTGGCATTCAAAGCTCTTCACCATCTGACCCTATGCCATTCCAGCTTCGTCTCTAATCACTCAACACCCATCCCATGCGGTTTCCCAGCCTGTAAGACCCTCTTCACATTTTCTACTTGCATTCTCCAGGAGTAAGGACCCCTGGTGGTGCAAGCTGTTCTGCACTCAACTGGTAGCTCTTCTCTTTTCTAGATCAATGTTCCTTAATTTTTAACATGTATGCATATCACTTGGGGGAATCTGCATATCACTTGGGGGAATCTTGTTAAAATGAAGATTGGTAGGTCTGGGATGGGGCCCAAGATTCTCTATTTTCTAACAAGTGATGCTAATGTTGCTGGTCTTTGGACCACAGTTCCTCTAGCAAGGGAGTACATTTTTTATATTTTGTTCCAAAAAGAAGGGAGATTCTGACTGCTAAGAGGATCCAGGGAGAGGGAGACAAGCTGTGCAGGTGACCTCAAACTCTAGTCAGCATGATAGAACTGCATCATGGTTAAGACCTGGGGTTTTTTGGACAATGACAGACTTTTGGTTCAAACCCTGGCTTTGCCATTAATTAGATGTGTGGCCTTGGACAGTAACTTTACTTCCTTATCTATAAAATGGGGCTAATGATACTTAACCCAAACAATTTAAAATGAGAGCATGTGTGAAAAAGCAATTAGCACAGTTCCTGGCCCATGGTAAGTGCCCGAGAAATTGTAGTTGTTGCTATTATTTTTTATTATTATTACAAAAGTAATAGCAGAGGAGGAAGCTAAGTTTAAAAAAATACTTAAGCAGGAAGACAAGATTACAAATTTTGTGTCCCCCACAGTACCTTCTTGTTACGGTACAAATGCCATTTATTCTAATTTTTAAATCAAATAGTTGTAGAATTTGAGACATGTAAGGGCCTTTAAGAAGGTGCCCTGGTGGCGCAGTGGTTAAGTGCTCGGCTGCTAAACAGTACGTTGATAGTTGGAATCTACCAGCTGCTTTGTGGGAGAAAGACTGTTCCCGTAGAGATTTACAGCTTTAGAAACCCTATGGGCCAGTTCTACTCTGTCCTAGAGGGTCACTATGAGTTGGAATCGATTCCATGACAATGGGAAGGGCCTTTAATGATCATGTAATGTGGTATTTGCCAAGTTTCAGTCACATGTTGTAAAAATGGCATGGGGGCACCATCTGACTTCCTCTAACTTCAAGAGGGGGAAGGAGAATCAAGATCAACAGCTCAAGGCTGATTCCTATGAGGCAGAGATCAAACGTACCTTCACATACCTTCACCGTCCAACATTTTTACCAGTTCTGATACCAACCATCCCTCCCACTATACTCTCTGCTTTTCTGCTGGGTTCAATAATTTGTTGCAGTAGCCACACAGAACTCACAGACAATACTCATAATTGTTGGGTTTATTAGGGAAGTAACAGGGTACAATTCAGAATCAGAAACAACTCAGGATACAGTTCTTTGATCAGGACAGCCTCTTCTCAGCCATGCCTACAGGCACGCCTCTCTCTGGCCCCCAGGCCTCTGCCCAGCTTGGGCAAGTGTTACAAAGCTCTTTTAGCTCTGCTGCTAAGTGCCTAGAAGCACCCTACTCCATCAGTAAGCTGTCTTTGTCCGTGGGTTGGCATACCTATAGTAACCACCTTGCTCTGTGGGCCAGGAAGCCCATTGTGCCATCTCCTGGTTCAGCTGCCTCTGCTGCCACCATTTTTCTGCCACTGCTTCTTGCTGTGTTTCACTGTCTCTGGTGTTACAGCTCTCTTTCTCTGTCTCCGGGGTCTAGGAGGTCTTAGCAAAGGGATCCTGGGTCTGATGGATGTCCTCCACTCCCAGCTCTTCTTTCTTGATGGTAGTAGGTCCCCCTCTGCTCTGGGATTGACTCTATTTTAAGGCTAGCAGGATGGCAAAACTGACCAATCCCATCATTAGGGTTCCATACACCTTATTTGCATGGTTCTACCCCCACAAGGGTGCCATGCATCTTATTTACATTATTAGCAACCTATCCAATCCCCTTGGTGGGCTGTAAGCACCTCGTTTGCAAAGTCCCATCCAGTCATTTGGTGGGAGTTACAAAGACAATAGCTAAAAGGGCTATATTAAGTAATTCACTGCATCGCACATGTATATTGCTGATATGTTGTATTTATTTATTTAATGCTTCTAATAGATTCACATTGTTTTGTTAAATAAATTTACCTTCATCTAAAAAATAACATTAATGAAATTCTGGGTTTGATGTGATCTAATGTTTTTCTAATATCCATGAAAATAAATACACAGTGATTATAAGAAGATAAAAAATTTGCCCATATACTACCTAGAATCCTCTTGCATGTTGTAGTGTGCATACCTCAAGTTGGGAAATGCTGATCTTGTCTAGCCTGAGGACACTGAGGCAGGGAAGGAAGTGACTTGCCCAAGGACTTAATGAGCTAGACTTAGCCCCTCCACCAAAGATTCTTCCCCAGGTGCCCAAGGCCCCCTCTTCCTGGAGCTGGAGACACAAAGGGTACTTGTGTGAATAATTTCTTTTTCAGAAGTCAGTGAACTCAGGCATGAGGAAGTCCTCAGCCTGGCCAAAGTCATCTTAAAGAAGGGTGCCAAGGGAAAATGGGCCACGAAAATGTATATATAATGACAGAAGTTGTCTCTGCAATGGTTGATGTCTTGAAATAAATCCAACAGATGTCAAAACCAGGGCAAGACTGGAAAGTGTGACCTTGAATCCAACCAACCAGCTGTGGGGAGTTTCTTGATTTAAAGTATCAAGTTGTATTTTAACCTTGAACTCTCATGGAGAGAGTTGGGGACTTGGAGTCCAGCCTCTGTCACGTCTTGGCTGTTAGTACAGGGAAGCATTATAGCCTACTGGTTAAGGTTACACTCTAGAGTCAGCCCTGAGTCCCACTGGCGACATGAATTTAATCTCTTAGCCTCGTATTTCTCAACCATCAAAACGGGTAACACCACCTGATTCAAAGGGGTGACAGGAGGATTTACTATAATAATGTACATCGAATAGTGTTGTCAAAGCTTAACACTGGAATGTTGATTATTTCTGTTATCGTTAGATGTACTGTTTCAACGGGGGCTCCCTTGGCTGGTCTCTAATTTCCCAGTTGCCCTGTTTTCCAGTTATCAGGTGGTTACTACCAAGCCACTACCTTTTTACAAAGATCCTTGAAGCTATGGTCACCCTTTCCTCCTCGCAGCCTCAGAAGCAGAAGGCAATACAGGTAGTTCCCGACTTACGACAGAGTTCTGTTCTGAGGACTCTCTTGTAAGTTGGTTTTGACGTAAGTAGAATACCTCTTTTTTTCTTTTTTTTTTTTCAGTTTTCATTATTACTGCCTTTAATGGCAGTATCTTTATAAATCCGATCTTTGAACATCTGTGAGTGAATATATGAGAATGATAACACCAGGAAATGACATGCTGCAACACTGTATGAGGTACATATAAACAATAAGATGTCCAGAAACAGACGTCTTAAGTGCGGTTTGTTGTAACTTGAATATGTCATAAATCAGGGTCTGCCTGTAATTCCTCACAGCTCCCTCAGGCCTGAAAGGATTCCCAGGACACTTTCCCCTCCCCCAACCTGAACTCCCCGCTCAGTTCTTGCCATTAGTGTGGTTTGCATTCTGGCCCTACTGCTCCCTAGCTGTCACTTACCCTCTCTGAACCTGTTTCCGTATGTGTAAAATGGGGATAGTGAAGATCGAACATCTGGAGAAGCTAACACTGTCTTGTCCCTAATATGTGGCAGGCATTTGGTTGTAGATTAGTGTACTTGTTTGGCCCACAGTAGATAACTCAGCATCAGTTTTGCTGGGATGAGTGTTCCTTTTCCTAAGAAGGGAGCAGTGTGCCCTCAATATTCCTCTTCACTCTGTTAGTACAAAATATTTTCCCTTCACCTGGCTCTCACAGGAGTCCTGGTGACACAGTGGTTAAAAGCTCGGCTGCTAACTAAAAGGACGGCAGTTCGAATCCACCAGCTGCTGCTTGTTTTTTTTTTTTTGTGTGGTGTGTGTGTTTACAAAGCATTTCTTTTCCTTTTTCTGATTTTATCTCCATTTTGTAGAAGCCCAGGCCTCATGAAACTGGCTCATTTTCATAATTTTTCATTTCAGGCCTCAGAATAACATTCGGGTTTTGCCCTTGCCTTTTTTACTTCACAGTTTAAAAAATGGTAGATGCTTGCGCTTAAAAGTTTAAGAGCCTGGACTTGGTACTGGCTGGCTTCCGTGACTCTCCACTCTCCTGCCTGCCCCTGCTCAGTCTCCTCTTGCAGTCCCAGGTTCTCTGTGCGCATTCCCTGGGTGGTCTCAACCAGTCTCAGGGCTTCACAAACCATCTCCAGCCTGATGGTTCCCCAGTTTACATCTCCAGCCTAGGCCTCTTCCCTGAGCTCCATGTGTGTCAGAGAATTGGAGGTACAAGCCCAAAACAGATCTTGCCCCCAACTTGCTCCTCCCACTCTCATCCTCATCTCTGTAAATGGCACCCCCATCCATTCAGTTGCTAAGATCAAAAACCTTGGAGTCATCTTAACTCCTTTCTTTGCCCTATGGCTAATCTCTATTAAATCTGTTGTCTTAAACCAAAATATATCCCAACGCCAACCACTTCCCACCACCTCTATTTCCACCTCTGTCACCTGGGTCGAAGTGACTGTCTTCTCTTGCCAGACTCCTGTTTCTGGTCTCTCCCTTCCTTCATTGTGTTCTCAAGCAGCCCAGCAGCCTGAGGGAGCCTTTTAAAGTGTAAGTCTGATGTGGTCATTTCCTTGCTCAAAACCCTCTTAATGTCTCCCCATCTCATTCATAGTAAAAACCAAAGCTCTTACTGTGGTCAGCAAGCCCCTAAACTAAGCGATTCCCCCACACCTCCCGTGGATTACTCTCCCCTGATGCACTGTGCTTTAGCCACTTTCTCTTGCCACTCCTGGAACTCAACAGAAAAGTCCTGCCTTAGCTCCTTGCTGCTCCCTCTGTTCTCGGGGATTTTCCTGTAGTCTGGTCTCTCACCTCCTTTTGGTCTTTGCTCATGTTACCGTATCGGTAAGGTTTCTTGACAACGCTATTTAAATTTACAGCATGCCCCAAACCCACCGCTTCCTATCCACCTTTCCTGAAAGCAGGTACTTTCTTCTTCTTATTCAATGCGGAATTCCCAGTGCCTAGAACAGGGTCTGGCCACCATACGGGCTCAATAAATATTGGTTGAATTAATAAAGAATAGCTAATCTTAGAACACCCAGTACCCCCTGGCATTGTATTATCTCATTTAATGCAATGCCTATGGAGCAGGCATTCCTTTTACTGTTTTACAAATGGGAACTGAGGCTCAGAGAGGTTGCTCCTTGCAGAGTCGGAGATCTCCGGTTCCGGGGCCTATCCTTCAGGGCTGATCTGTCCCCCCTTCTCCCTGCAGGTCCCGGGCGAGGCGCCCGCGCCGTCCGCCGACCCGACACGACCACACGCGTGCCCGGACTGCGGCCGCGCCTTCGCGCGCCGCTCTACGCTGGCCAAGCACGCACGCATCCATACGGGCGAGCGGCCCTTCGGGTGTACCGAGTGCGGCCGTCGCTTCTCGCAGAAGTCGGCGCTGACTAAACACAGCCGCACACACACGGGCGAGCGGCCCTACGAGTGCCCCGAGTGCGACAAGCGCTTTTCGGCGGCCTCGAACCTGCGGCAGCACCGGCGGCGCCACACTGGCGAGAAGCCGTACGCATGCGCGCATTGCGGGCGTCGCTTCGCGCAGAGCTCCAATTACGCTCAGCATCTGCGCGTGCACACGGGCGAGAAGCCGTACGCGTGCCCGGACTGCGGGCGCGCCTTCGGCGGCAGTTCGTGCCTGGCGCGTCACCGACGCACGCACACGGGCGAGCGGCCGTACGAATGCGCCGACTGTGGCACGCGCTTTGCGCAGAGCTCGGCGCTGGCCAAGCACAAGCGGGTGCACACGGGCGAGAAGCCGCACCGCTGCGCTGTTTGCGGCCGCGGCTTCGGCCACCGTTCAAACCTGGCGGAGCATGCGCGCACGCACACTGGCGAGCGGCCCTACCCGTGCTCTGAGTGCGGCCGCCGTTTCCGCCTGAGCTCGCACTTCATCCGGCATCGGCGCGCGCACATGCGTCGCCGCCTGTATATCTGCGCCGGATGCGGCCGGGACTTCAAGCTACCCGCTGGCGCTACGGCTGGTACTGCCACAGAGCGCTGTCCCAAGTGCGAGAGCAGCTGAGCCGCTGTTCCTGTTAAGCAGGGCTGCGAGCGTCCGGCTGGGAAGGGGCACGATGGAGCCCGACTAGGAGGCTGCATTAACTTGGACAGTCCTAGGGAGGGGCCTGGCTGCCCTGGAACTGAGAGAGGGAGAATCCCTGACGGGCCCCCGGGAACTGCCCATCTCCCCCTCACTACATTCCCTCGGCCGTGTTAGTGAATAAAGTATTATATCGTCACCCCACCCGTGCCTGTGAGTGAGGTTGGGTGGGGAGAAAAGGAGGCAGGTTGGCCTTTTCCCCAGGCTTAGGGGACTTAAGTGAGTTGTTATGGAGGCCAAAAGGATTTCTGGGGGTGGGGGGGTCATCCCACACTTGGCCCTTGGTTATGAAGTTATAACTTGAGACCCTGACGGGCCCATAAATACCGCACGAATATGATTAAACAGGCACGGCCTTCTGCGAGGCTTGAACCTTACTGAGCTGCCTATGATCGTGACACAATAGTTGAAACTTTATAGAACTATATTAAAGGCTTTAAGCGCTTCATTATGTAAATATACTTGCTCATCTTCATCCTCAAAACATCCCAAGTTAGGTATATCTTTTATCTCCATTTTCACAAACATGAATGGCAGAGCAGGGACAAGTAAAGGGGCAACTGCAGTCGAGTGCATTGGAGCTATGATGGGGGAAGTTAGTGAATAGGAGGGTCTCCAATGCAGTTTTGGAGTTTAGGGAGGCTTTTCTCAAAGAAAATGTTTAAGCTGGGTCTTGAAGGTCCAGAAAATTAGGATTGGGGGAGTATGGAGACAGCCCCTGAAACAACTTGCAGCCATCACCTGGGGTGGGATGTGGAGACAAAGCAGGGAGGTTGGCAGGAGATAAACCACTAGAGGCCTGGAAGCCAAGTTAAAGGATCCAAGGGATTAGAGAGGAGGTGATGGATTTGTCCAATTAAGAAGCTAGAACCCACAGGAGTTAAGAGTGTATCTGGGGATGAGGGAAAGGAGATGGGGCTGACTTCACTGCTGAGCTTGGGTAATTGCAGGACTGTATGACTGAGATAGGAGCACAGGAGGAGGGGCAGGACTGGAGCTGAAGCGTGGGCAATTGTTAGACCCCTGTCTGAACATGCTGGGTGTGAGACGAATGGGCCAAGGAAGTGACTGGAAATAACAGCTTGGACATAATCAGGTCTGCAGTGCATGACCTGTGAAGAACAGCCAGAGGTAGGAAATGTAGAGTGGAAAGTGTCTCACATGAGCGGTCATCTTGGTCAAATGCTGCTTTGGTGTCCCTGCATTTGTCATGTGTACAGGGAAAGTGATGGCAATAGTTTCAATGGAGGGATGTGGCTGAAAGCCAGCCTGGAGTAGGTTAGGGCATAAATGGGGATATGAGGAAGCAGTGTGAGTGTAGACAAGCCTTTCATGAAGTAGGGCTGTGAAAACCACAGAGAGCATTTGTTGGTCTTGTTGGTAGAGAAGAAACTTCGAACATGCTTTATGTGCTGGTGAGAATGCCTAAATGGAAAGGGAAAGAAGGTGATTAAGGCATAGGGAATGAAATCAGACATCAGCAGGAACAGGCTTCTCTTATCACAAGAGGAAGAGGAAATGTAGGTTTGGGGACACAAAGTTGAAACACTTCCGATCTGATGGATTCTGTTGTACCTGGGAAGGAAGAACAGAGGTCATTGGTTAAGAGAGGTAAGAAGAGCGAGGCTAGTAAAGGGGAAGGCCTCATTTTACTAATGTGGAAACAGACTGGCAGCAAGTCAGTGACCATGTGAGTCCTGGAAGTATTTTAGAGGCCTTTTCCCCTGCATCACCGCACCCTGTGAAGGACGCAGGCTACAGAAGTCTCAGAAAAGGAAGTGATATGCCTGAGGTCACACAGTGGGTAAACTATCACACCCAACACTATCTTTAGGCCAAGAGGAGGAATAAGAAATTGGCCTTGGCAGGGGGTCTTCACTTTTTCAAAGGGGCCCAAGGAAAGAGGAATTCCTGTTCTGTTCTACCTCAGAAACCTGGCCCCAGTTGTTGCTGGGAACCAAGGGAGAAGGGTAGAGGGATCGTACAGGACTGGGATCCTGAAGGACAAGGCTGAGGTCTGGGGGGCCAGATCTGCGTTAACTGTTGGCATTTCCCGCTCTGGGCCCCTGAAAGGTGAGTTGAAAAGGCAAACAGATGATAACAATTACTGCAAACTCACAAAGTACCTACTATACGCCAGGCATATCCTATACACTCTACATGTAGTAACTCACTTAAGCCTTACAATCCTATCATGTAGGTGTTATTTTCATTTTACAGATGAGAAAACCGAGGCACAGCAAGATGAGTGTCAAAGATGGCATTTGAACCCAAACTGCCTGGCTCCAGAATCTGGGCTCTTAACCAATACTACATACAGCCTCCATTATAGGCCCAGAACTCGGAAGGCACTAGAATTTGCTAGAAACTAGGTTTCTCTGCCCTGCAGGTAGGAGGAACAATGGAGAAACACAGGGATTGAGGGGCTAAGGCATCCCTAGTGCCCCTCTCCAGCACGTGCTGAAAACACAGCCTCCCTGGCCACCCCAGGAAGAAACCAGAGGTTGCTGGTGAAACTTTTATTGGGAGAGAAAACAGGAGGCTGTTTTCCAGAGGTCCCTGGGCCTCAGACCTCAGGAAGTGGGGCCTCCAAGCCCACGATCTGTTAGGAAAGGACCAGAAAGAAGTTCTGTGACCAGGCTACCCTCTGTTCCTCAGATTCTGTGCTGAGTTGCAGGTCCTGAGCCCTTGTCTCTAGGTGGAGGCCTGGCCCGTGGCTAGGTCTGCAGGCCCCACCACCTGGTCTTCAGAGGCAGCCCCATGGGGCAAGTCCGTATACTTGCTAGCAGAGCCACGGGACAGATGGACTGGGTAACGTCGCCGGTTTGTGTCCATCTTGGAGAGCACTGCTTGGGGCAGATCCACCCGGCAGCGGGCTGCCAATGCCACCAGATAGATGAGGACGTCACTAAGCTCCTCCTGAAGGGCTGCTCGCTCCCTGGTAGGCCAGGCTTGGGGTCCAAGCTCCTCATCAGGCTTCCACTGACTGGGGGCAGAACAGACAGACACACAAAGATGGACAATGGGTTCCTCTCTCAGGAGTACCTCAGTCCTTGCAGGGATGAACTCAGTCACCCCCCAAGAAGTTTCTCCAAGGCAATCCAACCCATCTGGGCCAAGTCAGGATGGGGAAGAGACCCCAAGAGATGATTCACCCAGACCTCTGTGTCCCTACCTGAGCCAAGAAGCAGACAAGAGATTTCACTTGTTCAGACACAGCTTTGAGACCCAATTCCACTGCTTTCCAGCCCTACCACTGTCAGCATGACCAAACTTCAGGTCTGGACTACCACAAAACTTATCTCCCTACTTCTATTCTTGCACTGTGCCATCTTTTAAAAGCACAAATTACATTTTATCCCTCTTCTGCTAAACCCCCACCCCTAAGTGTGCTTAGAATAAAATCCAAACCCCTGACCATGCCCTCCAGGCCCTGCGTGACTGACCCCCTGCCTCTTCCAATGTCATTGTCCCCCACTCTCCCTCCCCACCTAAAGCCACTCTTTTCAGTCTCACAAACATTCCAAGCTGTCGCAGGGCCTTTGCACTTACTGCTCCCTCCACTTTGAATGCCCCCCAACAAATCTTTTCCATGACTGGCTCCTTCCTGTTACTCAGGTCTCAGGTCAGATGTCACCTCCTCAGAAAAGCCTTCTTCCTCCCAGTTACCTTCTCTCATCACCTTGTATTATTTTCTTCATAGCACTTGTCATAATTCCAGATCTTTTAAAATTAGTTGAATTATTATCAGTCTCCTCCCACTAAAATGTCAGTTGTGTGAAGGTAGAACTGTGCCTCTCTAATTTAAGACCCTCTCGAGGCTAGACACCTAGCACACAGGTGATGCTCATAAATCTGTAACGAATAAATGGCTTGCTCTACCCCACCCCCCCATGTGTCCTCATTTTTCCAGTCCCAGCAACTGCCCTGGTCTAGGACTCACCATTTCTTGCTTGGTCTACACCAGCCTCCTCACTGGTATCCCCTACCCCATTCTCTTTGTGATCCAGTCTGTGCTGTGCAGACACAGTGGTCTTTCTACAACCCACATCGGGTCAGGTCCCTGCCCAACCTCCATCACTTACTAGCCAAATCCTATCTTTCTGGGTTCATCTCCTACCCCTCTCCTCCACAGCTCTATCACTCATTCAATAGATACCTGAGTGCTTATTGTATGCCGGACACTTGGGACACACCAGGGAACAAAACATACAAATCCTTGCTCTTCTTTACCCTTAAGTTGTATCAAATTCTCCCGGAATTTAACTTGCCTTGCCGTTTCCCGCCTCACTACCTTTGCAGATGTACTTCCCCCTCTCTGGAATGCCATAGGCAGGTCTTCTAGAGAGTGCCTTCCTTCCCGACCCAGAGGCAAGAGGTAAAGCTGTTGCCACCACCCCTTCTCAGACCTGGATCAGCCTTGCTGTTTTCACACTTTTCTTTCCCAGGAGACTGAACACCCCTAGAGGGCAGGGACCAAATGAGTCATCTCTGTATCCCTAGTACCAGGCACAGAGCCTGGCGGTGAGGAGGGAAAACTGAATCCATGAATGTTTGATAAATAAATGCTTCCCTCCCCTCCCCCACAGCCTCTTCCAGGAAGCCTTCCATTTACTTACAAGAGCTCTGCCAGCTCCCCTACTTCCCCCACCAAGGCCAGGAGGAGGTTCCGAGGCTGATGGAACTGGTCCCAGTCTCGTTCAGCAGCGAACTCAGCATGGAGGCGGCGGCTGGAATAGGACAAAGGGGTGGAAGCCCAGGGTCCCGGGGCTAGAGGGTGGGGAGGCGACACAGAGCCAAGGCAGGTAGCCCAGTGATATGTAATGGGGACTAGGTATCAGGGGATTCTGCAACCAATTCCCTGGATAGACTTGGGCAAGTCATTTCTTCTCTATGGGGCTTAGTTTCCTCATTTATAAAACGGTGCGTCCCTACACACACCCTAAACCCTAGCTAATCTTCACCCTCTTCCCCACTATTCCATCTCCTGCTGCTGCTTCTGTCATCTTCTCCAGCTGGAATGTCGTTCTAAATTCTACCTATCTTGCACAGCGCAGCTCCAGGACCACTTCCCCTAAGAAGCCTTCTTGATTTTCTCCAGCAGAAATAATATCTCCCACTTCGCAGCATTTCATTTGCCCCTGTCCTACCACCTACTCTCGGAGGGCAGAGGCAGTGTCCATTTCCAGTATCTCCCCAGCGCTGGGCAGAAGGGTGATCCTAGTATGACTCACGGGGGTCACTCAATATCCCCTGCCTCAGGTGTGTACTGCTGCGCTCATTTTGCAAATGAGGTTAGAAGGCTCGCCCGAGGTGAGCCAGCAGACTCGAGCGCCGCTGCTAGCCTTCTTTCTGACCACGTGGAGGGATCCTCCCCCAAAAGGAGGGAGAAAGGAGGCGCTCTCCCCAGCCCAGGATGGGCAAGGACGGCTTACATGTCCTCGAGCGTGGGCTCCGGGCTGAAGCTGAACGGGCCGGCAGAGACAGCACCCTCTCCTTCCTTTTCCCCACGCATGTCCCCACCAACACCAGACATGCCACCCACTCTGCTGCAGCTCTGAAAGCACCGAAGAACCCGGCGCCAAGGG